CACACACACACACACACTCACACACACACACACACACACACACACACACCGTCTCCTCCGCGCTGGAAGACAGACGGCTGAGTGACCATGACAACGCCAGCCGCCTCGTGGCCATGGTGACGAGCTCATCTGATCTTTTCTCCGTGGGCGCGGCGGGAATGGGATTCATCCATCCTGGGATTCCACAGTCATTTAGCATAATGCAATATTGATGCAGACACACAACTGCTGGGCTGGTTAAAAAGATCTGCAACAGCACGACTCTGGTTATGAATTCACCCGTTTGTGTGGTCGAGTCTGCTGGTTCTGCTGAATCTGTGTTTAAAGACTCACTTYCTGGATTTAATAAGGATTCTACTGGAGTATTTGTATTTGAGCTCCAACAGAAAACACGACTCGCTACTTTCTGAGCTGTCAAGTAACTAAGTACAAATACTTGGTTACTTTMCTTAAGTAGAAAMTTTGGTTATTTATACTTCAGTGGAGCAATTATATTTCAGCCTACTTTTTACTTCTACTCCTTACATWTTAATTCAGTTATCTGTACTTTCTACTCCTTATTACCCTCAGTACCCTCCACAGGACTCCCCGAGGGACACGCCTTCTCCAAGTCCACAAAGATTTTATCCTTAATGGCTTTTTTAAAGTGTTCATTACTTTTACTTTTATACTTCAAGTAGTTTTAAAACCAGTACTTTTATGCTTTTACTTGAGTAAAAAACTTGAGTTTTTAAACCCTGATGTCTATACTTCTACTTAAGTAATAAATGTGAATACTTTGACTCCTCTGGTTGTGGAGAACCCTCGAACAGTTCTTACAGTTTGTCACCAGTAGAGTCGACCTTACATTTATCTGTATTTTAAAGTGAGTTCTGTGGAATCCAACAGAACCCAGCTCAGCGGGTTAGAAGGCCTGAACGGGTCCGTAAACGTAACGAGAACAGAGGAGCTCACCCTCTTCAGCAGCCGAGCAGAGTCCTCGCTGATGTGCGTCAGGCGACTGATGACGTTGTTCAGGTAGAGGTCACTGAGGGTGGCGTGGTCCTTGCTCTCCCTCCTCACCTGGAAAACAGCACCATGCTCAGAGGAACTCAACACTTCCCTGTTTTCCTACAGGTGTGTGAGGGGCGGAGTCCAGACTCACCTGGTTCAACAGCAGGTACCAGCAGTTGACGGGAGAAAGAAGGTTCTGGTCTTTTCTGGAGGAAAAACAGCGGGAGGTCTTTGGTATGAAGCAAAACACCAGTTCTGTTTTAAATCCATCCATCATCCATCTATCCATCCATCCATCCATCCATCCATCCATCCATCCATCCATCCATCCATC